AAAAAAAAGGCAATGGAAGATAATTACAGTCAGAACAATGTAACAATATGCAAAGAAGTCCCTATCAAAACTCTGTGTTAAGCATTATGCAAAGTCAGAGTCACATTCATTCTCTAGGGTAATGATTTGCATACATGATTAGGAATATAGACATTCTTCAGTGAAATCAGTTAAAGCTCAAAAGGCCAGGAGCAACTTGGCCTGGAATGTTTGTGTTCTGCAGATAAAGAAAAGTATCTCAGCATAAACCATCACTTTATTGTATCAATTACATCATGACAATGTAAAACTTACCTGACAATGTAAAACTTACCTTAGCCTGCTAAAAGGCCGTTTATGTTAATTGTAACTATGTGCTGTTTTCCCTTCTCTAATCGTAATCAAGTAATCTGCAACCTAGGCAAAAGACTACTTTGGTAAGCAATCTCAACTATAAACAACCCAAGCAAACAGACAACAACCCAGCCCACCTTACGGGCAGGGCAGGCAGCCTTACAAGTCTGTACTCCTAACCCTTTACCCTCATTCCTGAAAATCCTCAACTGTGCATAAAACCCCTAGACAATGAGCAAACCACAGAATCTCTTGTCCCCTCCTGGAGAGAGCCAGGAACTCTGTCCTTTCACTTTATCTTTAAATAAAAGCCTCTACCTTGTTCTCCTATCTTGAGTGTTTGCAAAGTTCATTCTTTGGCTCCGTGAACAAGAACCCTGGCATCAAATTTGGGGGCTTGTCTGGGATAATTTTGGAGGTGAGTATCTGCATCCAAGGCTGCCTTTTTCTTTCATTGTCCTTATAGAAGGAAGCCGTCTACGGCACATAACATTGGGCACTCGTCAGCCACTTAAATAGGACTAGCCCGGCTGCCGATCTCAAAGTCTCAGACGACAGGTTCCCCAGCGTTTCCCTCAGTGGATCCCCGTCTCCCTTGGGAGCCAGGAAAATCACCTGAGTGGAGGCCAGGATTCCCTTTCAGAGGCTCTCCTTGGATGCGAGGGGCTGAGGAAAGCCGTTGGCAACTGTGAGAGTCCAGGCTGAGGCTACACTTCAGCGGCTTCTCAAACGTCCGCATGTCTGGAATCAGACCCCGACAGCCTGACTGGGTGTCCGTGAGGAGTGTCTCTCTCTGTCTCTCTGACTTCCAGCCTGCTTCTTCAGGCCGCCCTGGCCTCTGGGTGAGGCAAGGATGCTCTTTATTTCCTTTACAGGCTCTATGTGTGCCTCTGTCAAATTTCATGGAATCCGATGCTCACCACTGCAAGGTAGGAGATCCATGCTTCCCTCTTATTCCCCACTAAATGCTGCACTTTTTATCTCATGAAATGTGTCTGGGCACCCGTTAGCCACTAAAAGATGGTTAGTGGCGGCTACCAGTCTTCTGTCTTGGGTGAAAGGTTTCCCGGTGTCTGCTGCTCCTTGATCCCCAGCCTCTGGATGGACAGGAATGTTGGGGAGTGGCTGTGCTGATTTCCTACTTTTCTATCCTAATCCGTGGGCTCCAAGGGCAGACCAGACTAGTACAGAGAAGTCATGGATCTCAGCTCAGGCCAATTCATTTGATGGCGCTGAGTGAACCTCCGGCTTGGTTGCAGCCTATGCAAGAGTCGCAGATGACCCCTGACCTCTTGTCTCACAGATCATATTTCTTACAATGAGTGACTAGCAGGATAATTACTATGCAGTGGCAAAAACAGGTGTTTAAGAGTATAGACTCCCCCCATAAATGTCTGTGACAGCCTCTGAATTTTAACTGTGGCCTTGGAAAAAATTCCCCTGCTCCTCATTCAAAGCAGTCCTCTTTGGGCCTGCACCACTTTCTCCTGCATAATGTAAATGAAGTCTGTGAAGTAGTCAAAAATGAAACCTGAGCCCAACAAGTAAATGGCTCTATTCTGTTGATCTCCCTTCCTTAGAGGCGGCCATCCTGAGGCT